CAGACACTAGTCTATAACACATTTTGATCTAAGTGTATGGACCTACTTTTGATTTATTCATCTAAAAATTGTGTTAATTCCGTGACATTTCGTGTTATACAGTAAATTCTTTTTATGACTGGATTCCGCGATTCAGTGCACGGCCCTATACGTGCAAGAAGCTACGTAATATAATAATTTTGCAGAAGTGTCATCACCGGCACAATTTTCCAATGAGCCTGGGTTGGTTTTGGGAAGGAGAGCAAAGGGTGCTTTGCTAACAGAGCTGGTTTTGGGTTAGGAACGTCATGTCTATATGATAAAACTCATTCTGGGAAAATTCAGAACCAGCTGGGCATTAGTCTTCAGCGTTTCGTGCTGATTGGTTGAAGTAGCGCTGCTTTCTTGGAGAGGGTTGAGCTGAACAGTGTCCATTTTGTCTCCCAACTCCCAAATTCCCGAACTCTGGCTTTTCCCTCTTTCCTCTGGATTTTCTGCAGGCCCTCAGCCAGCTTGAGTTCTGCACAATGACATTTCTTTTAAAACCACATCTGAGGGGTTCTTGAGGCAGGCTTGGCCAGACCTGCTTATAAAATCCTAAATGGACTTTCTTTTCAATCGGCACCGCCTCTCTGCAAATATGAATAGAAAGACCTAAGCCTATTATTTTTCTTCAAAATAAAAGAGAGAGCGGGGGGAGGTAGGTCCGTGCTATATCCTGCCGCCCTGGCCTGTGAAAACTCCGAGATCCTTGGGGATAAATCGCCATGGCACCATCCGGCCCGGGTTCCTGTGGTCAGTTGGGGTGTCCGGCCACTTCCTGGTCGGGTTGAGTGAAAGTGTTTTTAGTTTAATATGCCATTGAGCCGGGTTGGGAACGGGGTGGCGCAGCCTGTGATCTCAAACCACCGGGAAGTATTTGAATGGCCTTGAGTGGCGGTGAATCACCCTGCGTGACTTTTATTTAAAACCACGGAAAGCCAAAAGCACCAAACCCTCTCTACGTTTATTAAAGGCAACCACATTTTTGGAAAGCTGAATGTATTTTAAATTTGACATTTTATTTCTTTTGCCTTATTCCGGAAAAGCAAATGATTTTTTCGAGGTTGTGCCTCGGGGGGCCCCTGCAAATTGGCACGGCAGTCTCGAGGTTCCCTGCTGGAATTTTAGCTTCATGCAATGCACCGAGATGGCAGTTTATTAAGAAGTTGAGAGAAATGGGCTCTGACAGCTGCAACTGAGAAGACCTAAAAGAGGCCCCGATCGAAAAAGGTGGAACGCAAAGTGCCAACTCCCACTTTTCATGGCTGCCATAAGTCAAGGACCCTGTATTGATGTACCAGAGAGTCATGGTGTCTTTTGTACGATGCTAGCGTGGACTCCTTAATTCGAACTGTTTTAAGTTCTTCCTCCACTCCTCTGTATCTCTTTTTCTCCTTTACTTGGAGACAGAGACTAGGGGCTTAAATGAAAAATATGCTTGCCTCTTATCTCTCTCCCAGAGGAAAAGCCAATAAGAGCTGAGAGGCGTAAAATGAAGAGGGGGGTAAGGATGCTATCATGCAGTCTTCCAGTGAGGGCCTTTCTCAGTAGCTACTGCCCCCAGTCACATATTAGTAGTGAGGCCGAGTCAGGGATAAGGTTTCCTTAAGGTAGGATAAGACCCTATTTAAAACTACTCGTCCAGATTAGCCATCATCTCTGACCAAGAGTTGAACCATATTTAAACCACATACTGGACTGAACTATTAACAGGCTAATTTAGTAAAAAAAAAAAAAAATATATATATATATATATATATTTTTTTTTTTTATTGCTTCGTAAAACATAAAGAATATGTTTTATTATCGTTTTTAATTTATTAATATAGTTTTTTCTGTATACAACAACAATGGATTTATTTTTTGTTTGTTTTGTGTTTTGTTTGGTTTTATTGCTTTGTAAAACATCAAAGGAGATGTTTTATCATTGTTGTTAATTTTATTAATATTGTTTTATTTTATCTGCATACAACACCAATGGATTTTTTATTTTATTTTATTGCTTCGTAAAACATAAAGAAGATGTTTTATTATTGTTTTTAATTTATTAATATTGTTTTTTCTGTACACAACAACAATGGATTTATTTTTTGTTTGTTTTGTGTTTTGTTTGGTTTTATTGCTTTGTAAAACATCAAAGGAGATGTTTTATCATTGTTGTTAATTTTATTAATATTGTTTTATTTTATCTGCATACAACACCAATGGATTTTTTATTTTATTTTATTGCTTCGTAAAACATAAAGAAGATGTTTTATTATTGTTTTTAATTTATTAATATTGTTTTTTCTGTACACAACAACAATGGATTTATTTTTTGTTTGTTTTGTGTTTTGTTTGGTTTTATTGCTTTGTAAAACATCAAAGTAGATGTTTTATTATTGTTTATTTATTTATTTTTTTAAAATGTTTTGCCCAGTTTCATTTGAAGCATGTGATTTCACTTGGTCATATAGACTTTCAATATCATCCATCATTGATTACATGTATTTTCATACAAATAATCATCGGCCTTCCCATCGGCATCGGTCAACATTTCTGTGGCACAGAATCTGACCCATCATAATTCTTGTCAGTATGACTCATGAATATTAATTAGGCATATAATGTCTGCCCAGTACCAACTGTGAGTTTGTCTGATTGACTGCAGATGTGACCGGTTGAGGCTTGTTCTTGGTCTCAAAACGGATATTTCAGCTGGATGCAATTTGTTTCCTTTGCACTGAAGTTTTTAAAACATATATGTTTAAGTTATTATTACCCAAAAAGCAGGGTGGAATAACCTTTGGAAAGTGGTTAATTATAATAGTTGCTACACCCCTACTTGATTTAGCCAAATATGACATGCTCTTGGAACAACATCCTAAAATATGCTGGGAATGTTGTTCCAAGACCAACAAGGGATTCGCTTGGGGTTTGAAAAACATTATCAACCGAACATTTGCTTTGGGTTTATAGGGTTTGGGGTAGGGATAGGGTTAGGAGGACTATGTTTGTTTTTTCAGAACCAACAAAGGATCCAGGAGCATGTCCTACATTTTGAAAGCATTTAGCAATACAGAATTATACAATTGTATATCATCAGCTCACTCTCAAGAATCCCAAAAATGCTTTTGTCGTTTCTGATGTGTTGAAAGTTATCAAAGCTCAGATCTTTCCAGAGAATGACATTCATATCATCGTCCACCCTCTCGGCTTCTGTCCCGTGTCTGGGAGACTCCGAAATAACGCCCCCTCCCAAGCGCACTCACACACACTCCTCCCGCCCCGTGGTTTTACAGCAGTACGTCTGCCGAGGAAATGGCACCCTACACCTGCCTCTCTGGCCAATTAGCTGGTCGGAAACAGCAACCTTTGCTCCCAAATTAGGACAAAACCGCTCATTCATGCCTGTGGGAGTTTTGCCTGTGGCACGGGTGGGCCGCTTTTTACCCGTCTCGACTCTCTCATTGAGTTGTGTGGTGTTGAACATTCAAATACAGCTGAACCTTAGGAACAGCATGCAATCAATAACTGATTTTTTTGCACTTTTCTCTCTAAGCGATTTCATGTTTGTTTTTGTATTTCGATTGATTTCATAGGGCATTTTTAATCTTTTTTTTAATGCTTATGGCTTGATCATAAGCTGCTTTCAAGTCTTCCTGGGAAAAATGAATGTGTGTTCAAGTGACTTTGGTCCGAGTAAATCAGATTTATTAGGTAATTTCTTCCTTTTCTCTCTCATTTTGCTCTTCCTAACAAATACAGGACACTTTTTTTAGTGCAACTAAATGAAGGGCAAAGGCTGTGCATTCAATGTGTATTTCATTGTTCTCATGCCACCACATTGTTCAATGGTAAATAGGTTTGTCTCCTCATAAACTGGCTAATTCCTATTTTTCTGGCAAACTTTATTGCCGTTTTTCATCTAAGCTACACCAGTGTTATTTTAGTATCCAAGATATTATTGTAGTTTTTAATATATTTTGTAGTTTTTATTTTTCATATTTTCTTTTTTCATTTTCATAAGTTTTAGTCATTTTGTTGCTTTTTTGTGGTTTTTATTTTTTAAATGTCTATGTAGTTTTATTAATTTTTATTTCAGTTTTAGTTTCAGTACATCAAATTAAACTAATTGAAAATGAGATGTTGCAACTATATATTTTATTTATTTGTTTGTATTTTATTTTAACTTTTTTCAAGTAGTGAAAATGTTTTTTCATGGTTTAAATGTTAGTTTCAGTTTAGTTGACTATAATAATAATGAGCTACACACATGTATATTTTCAAAGTTCACTATTACAGCTGATGACTCGTACCAAATTAGTTTCCACCTTGATTCTTTAATTGATCCAAAGCCCCCACTTTTGACTTTAGACTAAATGAAAATGCAAAGTTTGGCAATTATGACATTGTGCACATATCTTATAAATTCACTATTTTAGACATAAGACAGAAATAGATCATCTGTAGGCCAGGTAAAGGAGAAGCTCACCAATTCTGTGAAACATTTCTACATGTTCTTGAACGCTGTGTACTTGATGTGCTTTTGTGGTGTGCTGAGCATTGCTTTGTGAGTCAGCTCAGATCTGTGTGTGTGTGTGTGTGTGTGTGTGTGTGTGTGTGTTGAGTCCGCTGCTGACGTAATTAACCCTGTTTAGTTCCACCACAGACGGTCGGGGCTCTGTAATGAACTCCCTTATTCACTGGCTAATGATTGCCTTTGATCTTCAGCCCCGAGACCTCTGCCTCTGCCCTGTGGCGTTCCCTCCCTCCCTCCCTGTTTCTCATTCTCTCCTCCTCTAACCCACACTCTGTTTCTCCCAACCCCCTTCTTTATTCATTTGGTTCTGCCCCAAAATCCTGCAGTACACAATCCACACATCATCACTGGTGAGGTGTTCAACTTTGGTGGCTCGTTGTCCATTTGTTCTGAGTCTGAATGCCTCGGTCACGTTTGATGTTGTTACAATATCAGTTTTTCCCTCTGTGTTTTGCAGTCAAATAAGGTGCCGGTGGTCCAGCCGTCCCATGCCGTTCACCCCCTCACCCCTCTGATCACATACAGCGACGAGCACTTCGCCCCTGGCCCACACTCGGGACACCACCCACAGGACATCAACTCCAAGCAAGGTAAACGCATGCAAACTGCACAAATACACTACTGTTCATTGCAAACTATTAATGTCATTTTAAATCACAATGATTTATAGACACTGCCATTGGTCAGAAAACAGATAGTCCCACCTCCAATCATGTCTGTTTGCGATTCTCAGGGAAATCAATGTACAAATGAAATGCTTTTAGTTGAGTCCGCACATTAAGTTAGGATAAGTAATTTAACATTTACAAAATGGAATTACAAGTAGCATTTGCATTTATTGCATTTTGACATTTTTGAGTATTCAGTGGAGAATTACGTATATTTTTTTCTCTGGGATTTGAGTGAATTGAAATGTAGGCTCTGGTTAATATTTTTTGGTTACATCCACAAAACAGAGAATTGTTTTGGATAGGCAGAGAGGAAGTTATTACTTTAAAAAATATATATATATATTAAATTTAATAAATATTATAAAAACAAATGGAAACCAGATACAGTATGGGTCAAAATGTATTTTCATGTTGTCCCGTAAAGGGGCATTTTCAGTTTTTCACCCAAAAATTACAAATCTGTCATTTTAAAATACACCCATGTCTTTCCAAACCTGTATGACATTCTTCTGTGAAACATAATATAATATATTTTGAAAAATGTCAGTGTTTTTTGCAAATACAATGGAAGTCAATGGTGACCAAAATTGGTTGGTTACCAACATTCTCCAAAATATATTCTTTTGTGTTCCACAGAAGAAATAAATGGCGGTTTAGATAAACATGAGGCTGAGAGAATGTTTATTTTTGGTGAACTTTTCCTTTTTATGTGTATGTTTGTAATGTTATTTCCTTGTGTTTTTAAGCACTCTTTCTCTATTATCACTGATCCAAAGAGACATTAACTATATTCTTACACTTAATAAGCTAACAGCTCATTCTCACTAGAATCTTATTTCCCTCAAGTCAGTTAAAAGAGGTGGGGTTAAAGTTTAAAAGGGGCGGAGAGGTTTTTGGCAGGCGTTGTTGCACGCGAACCCAACTCCATATGTGCTCCTTCCGGCTAACACTCACCTCTGTGGCGACTGGCGAGGGAGCGGGCAGACAGGATGTGATGAAGCAGAGGAGGTCTGGAGAGCTATAAATAGCCTGAATGAGGCCGCACGCCACGAGCAGATTGGCCAATGATCCAAAACTTGCTCTGTTTTCATACGCAAACATGGAGTCACTTACTCATCAGACATAATACGCTGAGGGTGGGATTGAAAATAAAACACTTGTGAGAGTAGCCTTTTCAAGATCTTTTTTCAGGTGTTTCATGATTCAGGCATCTCACTTGGTGTGGAAAGTCGACATAAAATCAAAATAGACCCTGTTTACCACTTGAATACACATTCCTGATTCTACTGTGTATATTATTTCAAAGAAAAAACAAATGTTTGTCTAGAAATCTTTCATCAGACTCTGCCTCTGAAATGATCTCCCTTTTCCGCTGATGTCACCTAGGCTGTGCAGGAGGAGAAAATGATGTTAGCCAGTAGTTAACGCAGTAATTCAATACCCATTTTAGTTCTTTTCTGAACCAAACTGCTCCATGTGAAACAATGGAGAGAAAAATGATGAGTTGGAGATGCAGGGGTTGTTTTTAAACTGCATGTTCTTGCTGAGTGTGTGTATATCCCTTGGGCTTTGTTGTTGTACACTGGTGCCCCTTTGACAATTTAATTTAGCCCTAGGGTCTTTCTTCACTTTTTCCCTCCTCGATTTAAGTCTTTATACACAAACACAGTCTTGACCTTGGTGCAAATGTGTGTATGCGAGAGCGTGCATGCGTGTGTTTGGAGTGAAGTTGAGAAGCTTAGTACCGCAGGCCAACTGACATCCATAAGCAGCGTGAATCATATCAGCAGGGCTTATTAGAACAGCGCAAAAGCATTCCTAATTATCCCATGATCCGCTTATGCACCGCACCGGACCGTAGGGCCCGACTGTGATGCCACACTGCTGCTCTCCAGATGCGTCTATCTCACACTAACACACGCCGATGTCGTTTTCTCATTTGCTCCTTCTTGAATCCTGATGCAGGTATGCCCAGGCATCATGGACAGGACATTCCCAATTTCTACCCTCTTTCCCCAGGGGGAGTTGGACAGATGACCCCTCCACTGGGATGGTGAGTGCACACATGGCCAAACGGTTACAATTAAGAGAACGTTTTTGGTTGACGAGTGTGAAACGAATGGTTTTGAGTGCTCATCAGCAGATCAGGTTGTATTGGAGCTATTTGTGTAAAGTTGAAACAATAAAATTAGCTACATAATTGTATTGTATTGTATTATTATATATTATATTAAATTATATATTAATAATTATATCCAGAAGAATTGGGAAGACGTATTGAACCTTTATTTATTTATTTATTTATTGGCTATTTGGCCATACAATCCCGAAGACTATTTTATTTTATTTATTTTTTGCATGAATCTTCAAAAGGTTAAGACATAACTAATAATGTGGATGCATTAACCCACACGCATTGTTTTGCTCTCAGGTTCTCTCATCACATGGTACCAGGCCCTCCTGGACCCCATGCCACGGGAATCCCCCATCCCGCCATTGTCAACCCACAGGTGAAACACGAACCACATCACGACTCAGACCTGATGCACATGTGAGTATCCCATTTAGTAAGCTGCTAGCATTCAACAGCATGCTCAAAATGCAATCTATGTGTTTGTTTCCTCATAGCAAATATATTTACCCTGCTTTCATTATTAGGGAATTTTTATTTCAATTTATTAGTAATGGTTAATATGAGATATATAGGCTGATATTGTATATTTATTTGTGCTCATTTCCATTATTTAACATGATTAATTAATTATTAATTAGTTTAGTTATATTAATAAATGCAATCTACTAAATCTCAAAATGAAAATCTTTTTTTTTCATACCATACATTACAATGTTGTGCATTTAATCTAGGCATTAAATAAAAATTAATTCTATCTATCTTCTAAATGCATATTACAGATCTTATCATTCATTAATCTGTGCATGTTTAATTTAAGTTTATTTAAATTTTTTGACCTCAAAGTTTAATTAAAATGTCAAAACCGGACTTTTAAAACATGACACTTCTCTTTGGTAACACAT